ACTAAGCCTGTACATAGTTTTGCGGTTGCATAGCAAGGAAAATAGCGGCACCGAGTGCGAATACTGTACAATAAAAGCATGTATTACGATTTGCACACAAGCAACGCCCTTACATTTCACATGTGCTACCAAAAAATGCCTCGTGATGGAGGGCTGGCACCGAAGCTGCGAAGACGGCCAGGTGGAGGCTTAGGCGGAGATGACGACGAGGTGATTGGCGGCTTCGGCCATCCCCCACCCATCCACGGCAGCGCGCTGAGGCGGTGCCTGTAGGCAACCACCAAAATGCACCCCAGTCACGCTGAACACGAGTCTTGCGCCATGACGGCTACCTTCCAGGCAGGCGCATTGCAGACATCCTTCATGACTTCGTACACGCGCACTTAATACCCCCTCATCCTCGCTCGTCGCGCGTCAGAACACCCGTTGCGACACGTCTGAAGCAGTCGCGACCATGGAGACCATCAGTCGACTGCCCCGACGCCTGACACAGCTCTACTCCGACACCAAAACCACATGCGATGCCGTCGTCGAGCAGGATACCAAAGACACGCCCGAGTCGCACGCACTGCATCGCAAGTTCAGGATACAGAAGGACCGGCTGATAACATGGGGCGTGGACTGGAGCGACAACTCCAAGGGGAAGCAGGGCGACATCGACGAAAGCGTCGAGGAGGCAGGCATGACGGAGACGGTCACAAGCGTGCTCGGAACCATCAAGGAAATCCTCGATGAGGCGGAGCAGATGCACCCGGGCACGTCTGCTGCGGGTGGGGGAAAGACAATGTCTGGAGAGAAGAGCCGGCCTGACCTTCCCTCGTGGGCGGCCGCCGACAGGTCACGTTACGAGGATCTCATCAAGGACCTCACCACCTCTATCGACATACTCTATGACCTCTCACGAAACCGCAGAGTTCAGAGAAGCAATGAGCGTGGTATTAGTCCAGGAAAAGCTACACCGCACCACAGCACATCAACTCCTGTCTTCTTGTCGCCTGACTACAACGCCTCTGACCTGACGCTCGTCAATCCTGCCACCTTCCCTCTGAATGCACATACCCCCAGATCTCATCTTCCACCCAAGCTAGATCCTGCAGACCTAATCCTCCCCGACGAGGAACCTCCGCCATACGAGAGCGTTGGAACTACTTCTGTTCGCGTCATCGGCCGCCTGCGGTCTCGCCACAGTTCCACTAACCCCTGGAAGACGGATGGCAGCAGGAACATAGAGACTTGCGTTCTGATCGACTACGCGTGCTACGACCCCGCCTACCGTCTCACTGGAGTTTCTCCATCCACGCAGCGCCTTGAGAGCCTTCTGTCAATACTGACAAAGCTTTCCAACAACCAGTCCTTCCACGGGACCCTCAAGTGCCTTGGCTATTTCGAAGATCCAAAGCAGCCGCGCTTTGGCCTGGTCTTCGAGTTGCCCACCTCAGTCTACTCAGGGCCAGCCGATTCCCACAAGCCAGTCGAGGAGCTCAAACCAGTAACGCTGCTCAGTGTATTGCAGACGGGCTCCAAGTCTTTGCACAATCCCAACAGTGCCACCCCGCCACTTGAGGACCGCTTTCGTCTAGCTTTCACGCTCGCCTTGACCTTTAGCAAAATCCACGGCGACAATTTTCTCCACCAAGACGTCAATAGCAGCAACATTATGGTCTTCAAGAAGAGCAAAAGGCAGTCTGCGAATAGCAGAGCATTGCAATACTCGCTGCGGTCGCCTGTAATATGTTCCTTCGATCTATTCTCTGACTTCGACATCGACACCGACAAGGCGAAACCAACACTGAACATCTACCGGCATCCGGAGGATCCCAAGTTCACTGGAAGTCAAGACCAAAAGTACGATGCCAACTTCGATCTCTATGGCTTGGGGCTGGTGCTACTCGAAATAGGATTGTGGCAGCCTCTACTTGACCTGTGGAAGCAAAAGTACACCCTGAGCGACTTCAAGCAACGGATAGAAGATGTGTACATCCGCAGGCTCGCTTCAAAATGCGGAACAGCCTACATGCAGGTTGTGCGCGACTGCTTCTGGGCAGCGGATGTCAAGGGCGACAATGCGATCGATGTCCCGCAGGTGTACACTCGCATTCTAACCAGACTGCAACGCTGCTGCATGCTGGATGAGTCGGAGCCCGGATTTGACTTAAGCGAATTGAGACCGGGCGCTACACCAGTGCAGCAAGCATCTCCGTTGAAGCGCAAAAGCGCGAGCCAGCCGCAGATCGTCACCGATGGCCAGTCAAGTCCGTCCTATAGGAGCGCAAAACGATGGGCATTGGAGAAGGGTACACAAGCCTTGGAAAGGACCAAGTCTCTCTCAAAGAAGTCACCAGATCTTTCATTGGCTCGTAATCCATCACGGAGCTCGCAACACTCCATCCGGAAGAGCATCTCAGAAAGTCTTCGTATGATGAGCCCTAAAGAAGAAGCATCGGAGATGGAGTGGGAACAGAAAGATCCTCTAGATGAATCAGGCACTCTCGTCGCAACCCCGCCAAATTCACAAGACCCAAGCGATAACTCTTCGCTGTACAGAGAGCGCGTGGCGACTGCCGCTTCAACGATTCAGCGTGCATGGCGACAGTCGCGCGCCCCCTCTAATGGATGCACAACGCTACAAGACTACAAAGACAAGATCACCATCATCCAAAAGGCTTGGCGCCAGACCAAGCAGAAACGCAGTAATACCACCGTCTCGGCCCTTGTTAGTGACGGACTGCGACACTGGCCACAAGCTACTCTTGGTTACCCAACACCTGAGCCAGAGATTCAGAGTAGAACTGTAAATTCGAGTGAAAGCTACGTCACTTCGTCTATACAGATCGAGACCGATATAGAGCCGACTCCTCGACCGAAGCTACGTCTCTTCCCAGTCAAATTCACACCTGAGATCGTGGAAGAGTGGCACTCATCCATGTTGCCCCGCCTTGAGCGTCTAATAGAACGGGCGCTCAAGGATTCCGAAGAGACTGTTAGCATTGATCTCGTCGCCATCGGAGAAGTACTAGAGAAAGCCAAGCCTACTGTGTTTGTTACCTGTACTAGTGTGGCAAAGGTCAAGGCCATTCTCAGCCGTCGCTTCCGCTTTGACGAGAACACATATGACCTCAAGGTCCGGAGGGGAAAGATCAGGCGGTCCAAGATGAGCCGTTCGTCGCGCCGAACTAGGCCACCGCATCGATCCATGATGAATACCGACTCCTACGATGCGGACATGGCTGTGATGAACCCTTACCATCAGGATCGCCCATTATGCGGGGCTTCCATTGGAGCGTTCAACGGTGAACATCTGCCTCCGGTATCCTATGGTGGGGTCATTCTGGTTGACGATGAGCCATTGGGCATGAGTGTCCATCACCTACTCGACATACCGTCCGAAGACGAAGACGACGTTGGCGAAGAGCCCGATAGCCCTTCTCCGAGCGATGTGATGCTGTCCAGCGCAGCGAACAACCCTTGGTTAATGGGTATGGGTGCGCAACCAGATCTTCATCTAGAATCGGATGAGCCCGCTGGAATGTGGGATCTTGAACTATCAGACGATGAGGACATAAAGAGCGAGGAAGACGACGCTGACCTTGATTCGTTCGACTTCTCTGACAGTGAGCTTGAGTCTGACGATGAATCTGCGGAGGGTATGCCGATCCGACACTGCACACAAGTTACAAGCGCTAATCCCATTTCAGATATGGCAGATTCTCATATTTCACACGCAACCATGGGCGACATTGACGGCATAGCGCCAGGCGAAGGCGAGGAGATAAAGATCACACAACCAGCCATCGATGACGTGGGCGCTGACTTCTTCCCCTGCGAAGAAGATCGCGACGACGACCATCTCTCCTCGCACGAACTAGGCCATGTTCACGCCTCTTCCGGCATCCGCCGGTGGAAGCGCGACGGCATCCTCCACGAAATCGACTGGGCGCTCCTCAAGCTCAGGGAAGACCGCCTCCAGCCATATAACGTTTGCCAAGGAGGTCGCCGCTTCTGCCTGGGCTCCATGACGCCGGAACAACGCGCCATAGCCTCCAAGCTGGAGAAGCCAGTCAACCGCCGCACTTACACCCCCGAAGAGGACGAATACCCCAACGGCGTAGCCCCCGCATCCACCCTCGGTGGCATGTCCGTACACTGCTTCGGCCGCACCACCGGCCTCCAACCGGGCATGGTCAGCAGCGTCATGTCCGCCGTCCGCATCTACCACCGCAAATCCTTCTCCCGCTCGTGGCACGTCGCTGGCGGCTTCGGCATCGGCGGCGACAGCGGAGCCTGGGTCGTACAAAACGGTCACCACAAAGTCGTCGGCCATGTGCTTGCCTTTTGCCAAAAGAACAAGATCGCTTACATTTGCCCCATGGAAGTTCTTCTTGAGGATATTAAGCGCACCTTAGGCGCTAAGCGTATATACCTCCCTGGCTCTGTAGAGCAGACGCTGTACAAAGCTAAGAAGGCGAGGCACCACGATGTTATCGAAGACCTAGGGTCGCGGGTGCAGGGTCTAGGTATAATAGACTCTGCGGTCGATGTTAGGGAGAGTCTCAGTTCGGGGCCGCCGGGTAATGGTGGTCTCTGGGAGAGACTGGAGAGAGGTGGGGATAGTGATAAGGAGAACACGAGGTCGGCTATGCGGAGCAGTATCATGCGTGTCAACGAGGGCAGAGATGGGGGTTTGGAAATGAGTGTCAAGTAGGAGAAGGTGGATGACTTTGGTTAGGCGTTCAGGAGGACGGTATGGAAAGGGGAAGGTTATACCCTGTTGTTTTATTGATGTTCGTTTGAATCAGAAGACCTATCGATCTACTCATGTGGAAGATTACAACCACGGCACCAACGCTGAAAAGATCGTCAACTCCAGACCCTGCCTCCAATGTCCTTACACAAAGCCACAACATCCTCTCCCTTACCCAACCTCGCCCAATACTCTTCTATCTCAGCTGGGTAGCCCGTCTCATTGAACGCTTTCGTCCACTCACTCGCCTTACTCCGCGCTATATCGCTCCAGTAAGCCATCCTCTCCGGACGCTTTCCGTCTCGATTTGAAGCGAAGTGGATGAGTAGAGATCCAGGACGGGCTAGTGATGGTTTGCCAGGCTTGTCTGGATTTGGTGGGAAGCCATTGAACCACCTTTGGGGCACGTAGGCAACGGCGGAAGAGAAGTATGGCTGTGAGTCGCACGATGATTAGTTGATGCAGTAAGTAAAACGTGAACGAGCTTTCCACATACACGTTTGATAGTCTCTTCCATAGCACTTTGCTCACTATACTTCAACTGTATATCAGGATTATACTCCTTCAGGCTCAATGCTGCCGAGAAGAGACGTATCGCCCACTCGTTTACTTTAATGAGGAAGACGCCGTTGTTAAGACCATGTCGATCATTCGTCACCACCAAATTGATCTTTTGGTCTGGGGGCAAGAAGACTTGCAACGGAACATTGGGATTCATCAGAATCGTATCGCGGTCATGCCAGAAAAGCCACTCCAACCGTTCCGCAGCTGGCTTGGCAAGTTCGGCTCCAAGAATCGCGAGGAGGAAGGCATGTTTGGACCAAAGACCAGGCAGCATGCGTTCGCGGAGTATGAACTCAGGGTATCCGTGGAGGTCATTGTGAACCTGGTGAGAAGCGATGCCGGCTTCGTAGACGGGATCTTCCGGCCCGAATGAGGCAGTTACTTTGCCGATGCGTGGGGAAGACTGTGATGACAGCGCGGGTGCAGACGAAGTGGGAACGGAACCAAGATGCGGAACATGTGTTGGTAGGATTTTGCTCGAAACCGATGATTTTGTCGAGAAGAGGACAATAGCAGCGAAGCCTAGAATAAGCAATGTGGCGTATTTCCAGAACCGAGAAGAGGCTCTTGGAAGGGAATACCGCGAACACGGGGCTTGGTTGTCGTCAGACCATACGCTGGATATGGAACTGCGCCTGCTTTCGCTCATGGTGAGTGCGCGTCGGTGAGTAGCGCAAAAGCGGGACGACTGTGGTTAAGAAGGGAGGAGAGCGTCATATGGGATTGGCTGAATGCATCGATGAGGAAGTGGCCAAGGAAAGAAACACGTGTTGGTGATCTTGGATCTCGAGATTGAAATGGAATCTTGGGGTTTGACGATTTCGAGAGATGTCATGGTTAAGGTGCCTGCTACTGCCAGGGCAGACTGGTGGACGCCTGACATGATGCCAATCGCGCCTAGCGGAGGTTTCGCCGACTGCGCCTTCAGCTAATGCAGCTAAGTGCTTATGCTGGCGTCGCTGCAAGATGAAACGCGTACGTATGTCAACGCCTTTAGTTACTGAGTATGCGTAGGCTTGGAGGCTAGGAGCACACATCACAGTGAAGCACACGCGATTTTGGTAGTTACTGGTCTGTAGCAGCCATTCGGCTATGGCGGGTAAGCAGCCGGCAACGAAGATCTGCTGCTGCGCGGGAACGCAGGAATTCGGCATGGCATTGTTGTACGCAGTGGCAAGCTGAGTGAATGCGGGAGCGCCGTTTGATGGAGGTGCTGGTACTGATTGCGTCGAGGCAACGTTCGGCTGCCACTGCTTGCTGCAGCGGTTCTGCCAAGCCACTAATGGTGTCAGATCTCCAAACACTGCAAGACATCGTCTGAAACTACAGCCTCATGGCACGTCAACATCGCCAAGCCCATCAAAGTGAATAACATTTGGCTATGTGTCGCGTCTCTTCCCGTGTCAAAATTGCTTCCGGAGTCGGCAACGAGGACATACAATCGGTAGAGCACACACTAGGCTGACCGTCTTTGGTTGATGATTCTTTACTCATTGATCTTGACCCGTCGCATCGACTTACCCCCTCAGCTTCGGGAGACGGGCTCGATATGGTCGAAAAAGGGATAGCAGGTAGCACCGAGCCTCATTGCGCTTACGGAAAACATCAAGGACATCTCAAGCGTCCTAGTATGTTGATGGTATTATCAAGAGACTCTACATGACATGTGGAGTCGGATATCTGGCAGAGTGTGTGGGCAGCGAACGCTCGCTCCGACGGGTCGCAGCCGATGGAGCCTGGAATGACTTTGTCTGCAACTTGCTGATCACGAACAGTCAACACAGATACCCTTTCGACTTGCCTAGCTGGTTCGAACATGACCAAGCGCCTCCGTTGCGATACGTTCGACACTGACTTTGCCTTGGTCCTTGGCGCCTCCGAGGCTGTCAGATACAGTAGCTGATAGTCTCTTGTTGTCGATCATAGGTGGTTTGCAAGTCTCGCGCAGCTCCCTATATAGTCAAGATGTGCAGCAATGCCAACAGAAGGAGCTGATACCAGACACGGTGGATACGAAGAGAGTTTGGGGAGCGGGCTTGGATGACAGTGTAGTCGGCTGAGGCCGATTGGGAGCTGCGAGAGAATTGGTAGGGTAAATGGGAAAGACTTTGTTGCTGGCCAAAAGTAACACCGAGAACATATGCGACGTCTATATGATGTTCTGCATTGACGGCCTTCATCCAGGATTCCTTCGTCGAACGTGTCTCAATCGCAACCTCGACCCTACTGGCACAACTGCGTCGACCCGTTGAGCTTGCATCTGCGTCTCTATGAAGCGTTCATAGTGTAGTGGAGCAAGTACGTGCTTCAGGGCCCACTTTGCGACGGCTTCATAGCTTCGCGTGGCTGGTCTGATATCTCCGTGTACGGATGGTTGGGCGCTATTTCGACAAAAGAGGAAGCGCTAGTGCGAGTGCAGCTGTGGCGCAGCCCCTGAAGTGGTCTGTTCTTTGGCGAACACCACGAACGTCTGGGTCATGAACAGTCGGGCAGAATGCAAGACCAGCGTACGGCATATCTATGCGTTTCATGAGCACATCTGGTATGCTGGGGACAGAAACAGATGAGGTACTCTTGAGAAGCGGGTATGGGCGCATTCGCCGCAAGGTTTGCTTCACTGTTCTCATTCCGACTCACTCTACTTCCGCAAGCTGACTCTACTACCCAGGTGCTCGACGGCTTACACGAGCTTCGCTCTGACGGTCAATGATCAGCCGAACTGAACGTGCGTCAAGAGGACGGGATCTTTTCGAAAACCACGCTATTGGACACGCAATGACCACAAGGTCTAGAATGAAGTGTTAAAATAGACATCGGGATCTTATTGGATACTGGAAGCACATTTACCATTCTTACCTTAGACGCCTACAGACAAGCTCACCTTTGACAGCGTATGCCGGGGTATCAAGCTTTCTGCCAAGTCGGGAAAGGCCCACTCAAACAGTACCCTTACTCCTCCTCCTGGTCCGCCGTTGAAGGGTTCAGCACGCATAAAAGTACGTTTGAAAACTCGGTGAGCGAACTTCTAGTAAGGCAGAGTCTCACAAGTGTCAACTAGAGGACTTCTGCATGACTGCGTTCAAGATCTCGACAATGCCCTTCCTTTCAGACTTCGTGCAGCTCACGATAGATCGGCTCAAATGGTACTGTATAACTCCGACGCTTGTACTTCGTATCCGTATGTACATTTGGGTCGACCTCTAACGAACGGTATGCTCATGCATTGCGCACGTGTCGCATTCTAGAGCTCAATACCCTCGGATTCAGGGTACCAAGTAAGCAAGCGAGCGGCAGACTCTACCGTCCCAGTATCTCAGGGGCGTGTGTCTCTCAGACCAATCTGCCCACTGGGTGAGTATATATGAACGACGGTGTCTCGCAGTCCATATACTCATCCACATCTTCTCTCTAATCATCAACACCTCTTTCCTACACTCTTTTTTCTTATATTATCTCACCCCAGTCATTCGTTATACACGATCTTATTACATCTAATATCTAATTTTAACAACACCCACCATTACCATGAAGTACGCACTCATCTTCGTTGCCACTGCCGCTGCCCACGAGGCCTACGGTGGATACGGTGCGCAAGCAGAGTCCAGCTCCGTCGTCAAGCCAAGCACCTCCGCAAAGCCCATCGGATACACGACTATCGTGCCAGGCTATGGCAAGCAGCCTGTCACCGTGACCACTCAACATCAGCCGTACCCCACATGTGTGTCCCCCGCCTATGGTGGTAAGGACTGCGCCAAGTGGGATGAGGATGCCTACGTATCAACTGTCATCAAGGACTACGACAACAACTACGCTACCATCACCAAGACCGCGCAGCCCGTTGTTGTCTACCACACCAAGAAGACCATCACCCACTCCGCTACTGCAACAAGCGGCTACGCAGCTCCCACCGGCCTTGCCTCCAAGAACGGTACTGATGGCTGCTGGTACGAGCTGTACGAGAAGATTGAGTCAGTCCCATACAACCAACTCGGTCCTCACGCACTTCCCGGATACCCCGGTTCCGGCCTTTACAAGGAGGGCGAGCAGAAGCAGCCCGTCAACGTCAAGGAGTACAAGGGCGGAAAATGGTCTGAGTACGTCCACGAGTACTCTTACGGCACACCTAAGCCTGAGGTCACCACTTACGAGAAGCCCGGCGTCTACACTGTCCCAAGCAAGGACGTCACGGTTGAGCACCCTGTCACTTACCCAGCTGAGGCCACCAAGACTGCGAAGGCCGGCGAGACCTGCACCTACGGAGGCCAGTACGTCGAAGCCAAGCAGACCGGCTACATCACTGCCGCTTACGGTGCCTACGAGACAAAGGTCAACGGTGGCAAGACTGTCACCGAGACAGTGATCAAGCACACCACAATCTATGCCTCCACCACCGGCAACTACGAGGTCGCGAAGCCCACTACCACCGTCTACGACCACGACACCGAGGTCGCATACCCCACCGCTAAGCACTACGAGGCGGGTGTCTACCACCATGAAGCTCAGACTGTCACCATCACCAAGCCTGGACAAGCCTACACTTGCGAGTACGAGCAGACCAAGAAGCACGAGGCCACCTCAGCACCTGCGAAGAGCAGCGGTCATGCGGCCTACCCTACCTCCGCCTCCGCTCCCGCTCACGACAACTCATACGGCCACAACAAGCCATCTGCTACTCCCAAGCAGCCTACTGAGGGTGACAACAAGTACCCCTCGTACCCCGCCGGTCCCATGAACGGACACTCATCCTCAGTTCACGAGGCCTACCCAGCTTCCACTCCTTCTTACCCCAAGAAGCCTACTGAGGACGAGCACAACTACCCCTCTTACCCTGCCGGTCCAGCTAAGGGCCACTCCTCATCTTCGGTTCAGGAGTCTTACCCAGCTTCCACTCCCGCCGGTGTCTACTCCAAGCCATCCTACAACGGCGGCAACGCCTATGGCAACAACGAAAAGTCTACCATGGCCACCGTCTCCACCAAGGAGTACCCACACCCGGAGTCCACCCCTGCTTACGGCACTGATTCATCAGTGATGGCCAGCTCCACCCCCTGCGAGAGCAGCACTGCTTCCGTTACCCCTGCTTCATCGTCCGTCTACAGCGCTTTCACCCCCGCTGCCGTCAGCTCTGCTCCTGCCTATGGCACTGATTCGTCTGCCGTTGCCAGCTCTACCCCTTGCGAGAGCAGCACCGCATCCGTCACACCTGCCAAGTCCTCCAGCTACAGCGCTTCTACCCCCGCCGCTGTCTACTCCAAGCCCTCATACAACGGCAACAACGGCTACGGCGAGAACGTCAAGTCGACTCTCTCCACCATCTCTACCAAGCCTTACCCTGCGTCCACTCCTGTAGAGCACTACCCCGCGAGCGCCAGCTCTACTCCTTGCGAGAGCAGCACCGCATCCGTCACACCCGCCAGCTCATCCGTCTACAGCGCCCCGGTCTACAGCCAGGCTACCCCCAGCCCAGCCGAGTCTTCGTCCACCAGCACTGAGGTCTACAGCCAGGCTTCCTCAACTCCTTGCTCTTCCTCTATACAGTCGACCCCGACTCCCGTCCAACCGACTTCCACTCCTGTCTACGAGAACGCATACCCCGCTGGCGCCACCTCTACCCCTTGCGAGAGCGACAAGCCTTCCGCTACTCCTGTT